CCTTCCCTGCCATAATGACTTGTGCCCAGATTGTCCACTGAGGGACTGACATACATAGAGAAAAAAGGAAAAGAGCAGAGTGAGCTATTCCTATTTAATTCTTATAAAGCATGTGACCACAGCTGTAGTGTTAGTGATTTACCATAACACAAAGACTGAGCAGGACTAGCCCCACTGGGTCAGCCACAGGGGGCCATACTTCCTTCAGCCCTTGTGAAGTAATGCTTATATTAGAATAATAGAAAATGAGGGTTGGAAGGTGTCATGGCGGGGTCCTGCAGGAGGGCCGTGATCTCCTTAGGCCCCCTCTCCGTGCCTATTCGGCCCAAGGGCACCCTCTATTCTCGCCCGCCATGTCTTTGATCTTGAGTTAAAATGGGAGGCTGCCTTACGTCTCCTAGGCACGGTTAGCTGGGACCTACGTCCCCATGTTCTCCCGGACCCACCAGGGGTCTTTCTGTACACTGGGTGCGTTCCAGGCACCCTAGCCTTATGGGCTATGCGTGGCTCTTACCAACCCCTAATACCATGCCCCAAGCCGCGCAGATGTACCGGACGTTGGTCCGTCAAAATACACGCCCGCTCCCCTGGGCCTCCTCTGGGGTCTAGCCCACTCCCGGGCCTTCTCTAATATAAGGCCCCTCACGGGGACTCTCGTCAAGCCCACTCTGGGCCTTCTCTAAAATAACCTAGCCCGCTACGGGACTTCCTACCGAGTCTCCGGTCCTTTAGGCCCACCGCACGGCTACCCTCTCTTATCCAGGCTCACCCCCTTGTGCCGGGGCCCACCGCAGCACCTTGCCTTTCTCCTGGGGTGTTGTACTGCTAGCCCCTTCCGTCGGGGTCCACCGCAGCATCCTGCCCCTATCCAAGGGCTATCGCCGTACTAGCCTACAGCCGGGCTCGCTACGCCCGTCTCAGGCTTCTCAATAGTCCCCCTTTCTGGGACCTTACATGCCCGCACCGGGCTTCCTGATACTATCACCCCTTCTCTGGGGCTTGTTGTGCCCCCGCTGGGCTCCTTAATAATGCTGCCCCTTCTCTGGGGCTCGCTGTGCCCCCGGTGGGGCTTCCTAATAATACTGCCCCTCTCTGGGGCTTGCTGTGCCCACGCTGGGCTTCCTAATAATACCGTCCCCTCTCTGGGGCTCGCTGTGCCCACGCTGGGCGCCGGGGTCCTCACACTTTGCTGTGAGCCCCCTTTAAGGATACTGCGCCCTTACTGGCGCCGGGGTCCCCATACCACTGGGGGTTCCCCCTGAGTATGCTGCGCCTGCTCTGGCGCTGGGGTCCTCACCCTTTGTTGCGAGTCCCCAATGAGTAAGCTGTGCCCTCCTCAGGCGCTGGGGCCCCCACTCCTCTGGGGGTCCCTATGAGGCCTCCTCCAACCCCTTATAGCCTCACCCTAGCCACCGGTGTAATAGCAAAACAAAACACAACGCAAGCCTCCTGGCTATAACATAACTGTAAGCCACCTGGCTAAACCATGGTGATCAAACCTCTTCGACCTGCCCCTCCTTCACTCAGGTCATCCTGGCGCCGTGAGCCCCTGCCCCGCTGACTGCTGTCAGGGAACTGCTAGCCTGGCTTCAGCCCTGGGCTTTATAAGGGCCAGGCCCTGCCCTACATTACCAGCTGACCCCCATCAGGTGTGAGTTAATCTATCTGGGGTTGCCCTGGCAACTCACAGCTGCGCTCATTATCCCTGCTAGGGCTTTTCCCCCAGCAGTTTTCCCCTCTCTAG